CACCTGTGAGCATGGACGCGCTTGTTTTTTAAAAGGTTCCTTGGCATGCACGCCATTTTCCCATGCCGCAAGTCTTTAAAGGTTTTCCGTTGCCAAAGGGGATTTATGTTAGATATAATTTTATTTTATTTTCGAACATGCAAATATAACTGAAATAACAACAGAAAAAAACAAAACAAACAAACGTAAAAATCATCAAGTTTTCATGTAGATATCTTTGCCTACAGAATGCGTGTGCTCGAAAAGGAGCAGGATGACGTTTACACTTTTCTTGTTCCTACCCCCTTATTTCAAATCTCATTGCTTACACATCCATATCCAGGATTCAACATTATTTGATCATACAGGGTTAACTATGTACAAGTGTAACACATTGAACATACGCAAATAAAAACCATTTTCAGCACGTAAACCAGAACAACAACAACAAACTACATTTTTACATAAACTAACCACCCTCTCTATAACAGCCGCTCAGTCTCTGAGCTTGTTTTATATCTATGTGACAAACACCTTAATAAACACTTAAGGTTGGGTTACTCAACCAGCCTGAATATTTGACACATGCAAACATCATTTTTCCTTTTACAGTGTGCAGCATTAGATGGGAAGTGCTCCATCAGCTGTGATGATGAGGTCAGTTTGTTTTCATTTTCACAGTCGACCCTTCGTGAATCTTACGACTCTCTAACACATATTTCTGTTTTACAGAATATTAACTGCTACTTAATCGACAACAATGGCTTCATTCTGGTAGCAGAGGACTATACTTTGGTGAGACATGGATGAAAGAGCGTGCACAGCCTCTTTTTGTCACAGTTATACATTTCATTTGGATTTCACTGCAAACAGAAAATTGAATCCATCGTGCACCTGGTCATCTCCACCCTGGATGTGCGTCCCTGTGAAAAACCGTTGCTCAAAAAAATTAAGGGAACACATCATGACAGCATAACAGCACGTCAGTGATACTTCAGGGCTATCAGTCTGTGAAGAAGGATTAACGACTGTGTATCAGTTTTTAAAGGTTTTTACAGGCAGCAGCCGTGGATCATTGCTCCCACTAATTCCTCTTAACGTGTCCTTGTCACTGTAGCATGAGACCAATAGTTAGTCCACATTCTCCAGGATGGCTCGTCCATATGTGCTGTCACACAGGTTTTACTGGCTCCCAGCACTCCCAGTTGTATGGGGGGATATCAGGAGATGGGCCATTACACAATAAGAGCTCGACATCAACCCAGCAGCACGACCGTGATCTGCTCCTCCGTGCGAGGAGGAACAGCAGCAGCTCTAAAAATGACCTCCAGCAGGCCACTCGTGTGTTTCTGACCAAACAGTTTCATTTGCACCAAAGCAGCTGATATTAATTCATACTTTATGTTTCCTAACTGTATCGATATCACTGGCATTGAACTAACTTTGTAATATATCGTAATGATCGATTTTTTTGAGCAGTGTAATTTTCTTTCTGCGTCTCACACATGATATCGTCCCTTTGACTGCTCACAGTGAGACATGCTGCTGCTCTCGCGTAGACTCGACCCTCTGCTTAGCTGTCACCAGACATGCTGTCACTCCGACTCTGCCTCATGCAGAAACCAGTCCGCTGGCTGTCACTGCCCTTGCCTTACCCTGCATGTTCTTTTCATGCGTATCTCACTTGCAGGCTTCTGTGCTTTATTGTAACTTAATTTGGATGTGGCAGAGCTTTCAGGCTACCAAATGTCACCATTTTTTAATAACAGTATTACATGGTGACAATGTATTTGACTAATAAGGTAACAATGTGAATTATAAAATGTTGCATTGAATGTGTGAACAGCTTATTTTGTTACTAGGCAGAGGTTATATAGGCTGAGTCACATTTTCTGCCCCACAGAGTCGAGAAAATTAGAATAAGGAAGAATGATGGTGAGAATATATCACAGTACTCTTTAGCAAGCAAATGCCATATTTTTGTGTAGATCAAGGAATCCAATACTTTCAGGACTGAGAAACATTCAGTAGTAAAAGAGTTTAAAACACATAAAATAAGAAAATATGTTAGATGCAGTTTTTCTGAAATCCCGGGCAGAAGGTTTTGCAAGGAGCGAGTGCGTAGCGTTCAAAAATGCTAGCTCAGGGCGTAAATCTCTTCCGTGTTACGAGACATATACACCAGCCTGTGTTCACCAATACACGGATTCATGACAGAGTTGGCTGCATAAAGAACATGTGACTCCAGCAAAAGTGCCGCCTGGCAGTTTGTCAGTGTCAGAGGAAAGCTGCTCCTCACCACGGACTAATCCATACCAGCCTTTTCTATTTACTGATGATTTCAC